CACCCCCCACCCCCATCCTGGAGATGCGATCCCATTGGTGAATGGGTTTTGTTATGCTAATGTTGCGGTTACCTAGTGCCACTCTGACAGGACTATACCACAAATGGGATGGCTTGAACAAACAGTTTATTCTCTTATAGTTTTGGAGGCTAGAAGTCTGAGTTCAAAGTGCCAGGCTCTGGGGGCTGGGTGAAAGCCCCTCGACCTTGAGCTTCAGCTCTGTGCCTTGCTCCCAGCCCACTGAAGCTAGAGGCTTTTCTTCACTCAGACAGCTCCTGGCTGCTGAGGCTAACAAGCCCAAGGTCGACAAATAAAATGGCACAGTCCCGATGTTACCAAACCATATAGCAGGTCATTCATTCAAGTCCATTGAAAGTCCCAAGGTCAGCAGAGCATGGAAGGCTGCTGAACAACATGGCTACAGGCAGGGTTCAAGTTGCCATAAGCTAGAGACCATTCCCCAAGGGTTCTCCTTATATACAGGAAGCAGACCACATACCTGAAGGCAGCTGCTCCCAGTAGATTCCACCATGGAGTTGATCACCAGTCTCATCATGGGGAATACTACATCCAGCTGCCCAGCCACTCACCCAGGCCCAGCCAAGTTGACACACAACTTTAACTACCACAGCTAATGAGGCAGTGTTAGTGCAGGGTGTGTCTCAAATCAATCTCTCGGGCTACAAAAGGAAGAGATTGTGTGGGCAGCCAAGCGAGCAGGCACACACGGAGAAGATGGATACCTTGCCGCATGAGCTGGCCGAGAAGCGGGGCTGAGGGACAAGGACCTTCCCCCAGAGCCAGCACCTTGATGCCGGGCTTCTCGCCTCTTAACTGTGAGCAGGTAGATTTGTTTGTTGAAGCCGCCACTCGTGGAGCTTGTTACAGCAGCGGCACTTGATGGCCCAGAGACTGACCTTACCTCTGAGGCCGGGGCGCAGATGCTCTGGGAAGGAGAGGGGAGCCTGGGCAGTGAGGGCCCTGAGGGGAAGGTGGTCGCCCCTTGAGGACTCGTGCCCAGGGCAGGGTGCTGTGGTGAGCAGAGACGCTGCCCCATCCTGTCCTTGGCAAAGGAGGATAGGGCAGCCCAGGACCCCCACACCTCCCCACAGTCAGCGCCATCACCCGCCTTCCCCTGACGCGCATCCTGGAGCCTGTGTGTGCTCAGTGCAGACGCCCTCCATGGAGCCTGGCTGTCCAGAGGGAGACTTCTGGGGTCCCCTGGGACCCTCTCCTTCAATCTTGTTGTTGTTGTTACTTGCCGTCGAGTCGGACCCAACTCTTAGATGGGAAGAATCCTGAGTGCTTCTTGGCATTTGAGGTGGAGTGGGGGTTTTCCGAAGCAGGCCCTCCCAGCTCTCCTCTCCCGGCCCTTCTTCCTGTGGTCGACTCAGTTTGTGGACAATGAAAACCAAATAGGTTGTTTATGGCCTTGTGGGTCAGAATTTGAAAGTGTGCTCTTGACTAAGCACTTCTTGTAGGAGCTCTGGTGGCACAATGGTGAAAGCATTCATCTGCTATCCAAAAGGTTGGTGGTTTGAAACCACCAGCCACTCCACTGAATAAAGACGAAGCAGTCTGCTTCCGTCAAGATTTACATCTTTGGAAACCCTGTGAGGTAGTTCTTCTCTGGCCTGCAGGGTCATTATGAGTTGGAATCGACTCGATGGCAGTGAGCCTTGGTTTTCAAGGACTCTTGAGAGTCCTTGGGTGATGCAAATGGTTAAGCACTCAACTACTAGCCGAAAGGTTGGCGGGTCAAACCCACCCAGAGGTGCCTTGGAAGACAGCCCTGAGGACCTGCTTCCCAAAGGCCACCGCCCTGGAAACCCCACGGAGCAGTTCTGCTCTTCACACCTCGGTGACCAGGGTCAGCGTCGATTCGAGTGACAACAGCAGAGTAAGACAGAGCTGAGAGAAGACCGCCACGGCTCAGGGCAGAGGGAAGGGCCCCGTGGCCAGGCCTTTCCCGAGACACCTGAGTGGACTCGGACCTCCAGCCTTCCAGCCGGCAGCCGAGTGGGGCCGTCGACACCGCCGAGGTCCTCAGGGCTCGCTTGTCTCCTCTGGAAGCAGAGGCCCCTCTGCCCCAGAAGGCACTGGCTTCTCCCTGGCCACATTCCAGACAAGGGCAGTGTGGGCCTGACTTCAGCAGTGAGCCGATTTAATTTCACTTCAGAAATGATTTCCATGCCAGCAGACAGTTTGGTGCTGAAGGAGGAACGTGTATGCCTCTCCCCCATCCCGGGATGCATGAAGCCAAGTTGAGTTGCCAGAAGGGGGCCATGGCCATTTGCGAAGATGGCGTTTGTGTCAAAGCCCCACTTCCAGCATAACTGGAGGCGTGACTGTCAGGAAACAGTGCTAGCAGCATTGCCCGCCCCCCACGCCTGAGCCGTTTTAAACTGTTCCAGAACGTTCCAAAGATCCTTTCCTCCCTCTTGCTAGTTCACATCTCTTCCTTCCTTCTCTACCCCCTTTTTCAAGTAAGAAACAACACTCAGCAGAGAACAGGTGGAGGGTTGGGGACAGAAGGGAAAAGGAGAAGAACAAACAGGCCCCTCCCCCGCCCCAGGTCCTGGCTGCATTGGTCCCTTCCCTCAGAGTCCGTGGCTGTGGCCTGTGGTGTGGACCGAGCTGGGAGGAATGAAGGGCCAGAGGGCGTCAACCTGCAGATGCTACTGCACGAGCTGCCTGCAGCCTCAGCGGTGGCCCACCGGGGGGCACCTGGCCTCGGGGGGACTCAGCAGGTGCAGTGGCTCTTCCCGCTGGGACCCTGGGTTACAAGGACGGGGCTGGAGTCCAGGGGCAGGCTGCTGAGGGTGCCCTCCGTGCACAGGTGCAGGCTGTTACGGGCCATGAGCTCCTTGGCCATAAGCAGGAAGACCTCGTCTATGTTCCTAGACTCCTTGGCCGACGTCTCCAGCACAGCCAGGAGCCCGTACTTCTCCGCCAGCGTGCAGGCATCCTCAAACAGGACGTGCCGCTGCTCCCACAGGTCCGCTTTGTTTCCTGGGAGGGAGAGGTGAGCACACGGTCCACTGAGGGAACTCATCATGTTTGCCAAATGAATTCTTAAAAAGAACATTTTAGATGAATGGATAAGCAAAACGTGGCCCATACATACAATGGAATTCCCCCTCCCCTGCAAAAGAGCCTCGAAGGAAGACCACCATGTTGGTCATGAGGGGACTTAATAGCCCAGGCTTGAGCACGGAAGGGCGGAAGGGCAGTGCGTCTCTCCTCAGCAGCAGAAAAGCCCTGGGAAGGCCTAGGTTCCCCTCCAGGGGCAGGGGGAGAAGGGACCCTTCTCTTGAGCATGTGCTGAGTGTGTGCGAGTGTTCATGGATGTGTTTGGTGTGTGTACATGTGTGCGCACACATGTGTGCATGTGTGCCTTTGTGTGGAGTGTGTGTGCGTGTGTCTGCACATGTGCATGCCTGTGTATACACATGCACCTGTGTCTACATGTGTGAGAGTGTGCATGTGTGTGGTGTGTGTACATGTGTCCGCACATGTGCATGCCAGTGTACACTTGCACCTGTGTGTGCATGTAAGTGTGCATGCATGTGGTGCGTGCCCATGTGTCTGCAAGTGTGTGCATATATGCACTCCTGTGTGGTGTGTACATGTGTCTGCATGTGTCTGCATGTGCATGCCTGCATGTGCATGTGAGTGTGCATTGTGTCTGCAAGTGTGTGTATATACACGTGTCTGTGTGTGCATGCATGCCTATGTGTGCATGTGTGAGCATGTCTGTGTGTCTCTGCTGTGCGCACGTGTTTACACATGTGTGCGTGTGTCACACACAGCTGTGTGTGCATGTGTCTGTGTATGTATGTATACATGTGTGTATGCAGCCATCACCACTGTCTGTTTCCAAATGTTTCCATCTCCCCAAACAATCTGATGCAGTAACTCTCCGCCCCCCCAGCCCTAGGTGACACTGCCCAACTTTGTTCCTGCCTTCCCCTCTCCCAGACATTTCATGGATGTGGTCACACCCAGTATGTCTTTGCATGTCATCTTGAGGGAGGTGGCCTGGGAGCTGGGGTGGCTGGAGGGGAGTGCCTGAGGCCATTTGTATGGGGCTCAAGGGGCTGCAAGGGGCTGGGGGCAGATGTCTGTGTGAGAACGAGGTACAGACAGGACAGGGCCAGGGGCTCGGGAGGGCCAGCAGTGGGCCTTTCTGGATCACGGTTGGGACTGGGAGCACTGGCAGAGAGCGGAGAGACCAGAGGGTTGGACGTGCCAGCGCTGGAAGGCTGGCGACACCGCAGACTCTCCTGCGTTCTGGAACCACTTGGGGCAGACAGACCCTGGGGTAAACACCAAGACCCCTTTGTGAAGTCCCTGGAAGCCCTGACACCTTGGCCACCGCTACCACCCTCTGCCCTTCTGCTTCCCCGGAGGGCGGCACTGGCCCCAAGGCCGAGGCGTGGCCTGCAAAAGCCAGGAAGGGAGGCAGCGAGGGGCGGGGTCTCTGCAAGGTCACCACACCCACTCTCACACTCAGTGGAAACCGCTGCTGTGGGGTCGGTCCCGACGGCACCTCCTGTGCCGCAGAGCGGAGCTGCGCCGTGGGGTTTTCTGGGCTGTAACTTTAGGGAGGTGGACCACCTGGCCCTCCTTCCCAGCGTGGTGGGTGGTCGGAACCAGGACCTGAGGGCAGTCATGGGCAGGAGCTCTCTGAGCTCCCGTGTTCTGCCGCCGCCTGAGACCCATCAAGGGAGAAGCCAGTTGCCTCGGGAAGGCGTACCGATGAGCATCATGACCAGGTTGGCCGCACCGTACTTCTCGATCTCGTGGATCCAGTGCGGGACGGATTCGAACGTGGACCACCGCGTGAGGTCGTAGGCGATGATGGCCGCGTGGGCACTGCGGTAGTAGCTCTGGGTGATGGTCCGGAAACGCTCCTGGCCCGCCGTGTCCCACACCTGCATCTGGAGAGACAGCAAGGAGCACGTGTGCCGGCGCCCACCCCTGGGGGGACACCCTCCCCTGAGGCCGCTCACAGTGGGCCTTCTGCTCGCTTCCACATCTTCAGACTCAGCAGACCTGCGCTAGGGCCCAGGGACTTACTTCTCAGCTGCTCCCAGGTAATCTGGAACCTGGCCTGAGGCCCTTGATGGTCAGAGAAGGGGACCTGATTTATGCTGGGGGTCTGGTGTCCTTGGGACTTTTTCCTTCATTATCCCTAGGACCAGATTTCGGGGTTCTGGGCCTGCTGTTGATATTCCAGAAAAACCCAAACTCACTGCCATCGAGTCATAGCAACCCCCATTGGGTTTCCAAGACTGTCAGTCCTTACAGAAGCAGATTGCCTCATCTTTCTTCTGCAGAGAAGCTGGTAGGGTTCGAACCACTGACCTTTTGGTTAGCAGCAAAATGCCTTAACCACTGCACCACCAGAGCTCTTGCTGTTGATATTAATACAGGCCAGAGTGAGGGCACTGCCTGAGTGTGGTGTCTTAGATGGCCACTCAGCTGCCATGTTTGGGAATGTCCTTGTAACAGTACCTTCCGATGGCACCCCCAGCAGTGGCTCTGACAACGTGGCCACTAGTAGTGCAGGAGAGTCCCAGTTTCCTCAGACTCTCACACTGTTTTTAAGATCTGTGTTTTAAAGAAAGTTTTCAATCACACAGACTGAGAGCAAATGGAACAATGGAACCTCACAGAGCCCTTGCCCAGATTCCAAAAAAAAAAAAAAACCCAAACTCATTGCTGTGGAGTTGATCTGCCTCATAGCAACCCCTCCTTGGGTTTCCAAGGTGGTATCTCTACAGGAGTGGGTTGCCCAGCCTTCCCTCTGAGGAGTGGCTGGTGGGTTTGAACCGCCAGCCTTCTGGTTAGCGGTCACATGCCTTAGGCACTGCGCCACCAGCACTCCCTTGCCCAGATTCAGTTGCCAAGATTCCGCCACCCTTGTTTCACCTGCCCTTTCTCCTGCTTTCTTCTGGGTGTTACTTTAAAGCAAATCATCCCCACCTACGTCAACATACAGCCTCTGAAAATGGCCTTTTCCTTACGTTGCCACAAGTCCACGATCACTGGTGATGACACTTTTCAATAACTCCTTGGTATCAGCTGTTACCCAGACCATAGAAACATTTTCCTGACTGCCTCCAAACTGTCTTTTTATGTTTGTCTGTCTGTCTTAGAATCCCACGCAAGGGCCACTGCTTCCGTTTCTGCCAACACCTTTGATCTTTTCTAATCAAATGGGTGAAACACAATATCTCGTGGTTATTTTAATTTGTGCTTCTTTAGTTCTGAGTGCTCCTGACCCAAGTCACAGTCTTTTTAATCACATCGTGTGCATGTGAGAGCTGGACAATGAATAAGGAAGACCGAAGAAGAACTGATGCCTTTGAGTTATGGTGTTGGCAAAGAACACTGAACACACCGTGCACTGCGCGAAGAACTAACAACTCTGTCCTGGAAGAAGTGCAGCCGAATGCTCCTTAGAAGTTAGAATGGCAAGACTTTGTCACACACTTTGGCCATGCTGTCAGACGGGACCAATCCCTGGAGAAGGACGTCATTGGTAAAGTAGAGGGTCAGTGAGAAAGAGGAAGACCCTCAACGAGATGGATTGACACAGCAGCTGCAGCTGTGGCCTTAAGCACAGCGAGGACTGTGAGGACGGACCAGGACTGGGCAGCGTTTCCTCCTGCTGTCCGTGGGGTCACTGAGTCGGGGCCGGCTCGACAGCACCTGACCACAACAGCAGGTCTGAGGGAGGTGGGCATCTTCCCACCTCACCTATATTACGAATTTGTTGCTATAAAACGTAGCAGTTTTTGTCCAATCTGAGAATCACCCACTTTTTTGTATTTGGTCGTTGGTCTTAGACATTCATCTGGGCTCCCTTCACGTTAAATATGTTAGCCCTTTGTCAGGCCAGTGTTCACAGATACTTCTTTCCAGTTTGTCACGCATCTTTTCACTCTGTAGGAAATGTGCCCTCGTGTAGTTAGATTGAGCACTATTTTCCTTTAGGGCTTGTGGGTCAGGGCCTGTCTTAAAAGGCTGATCTCCTGTTACTCATTGAATGTGTTCCCCAGAAAGAAATGTCCCTCACTCCTGAGCCTGTGACTGTGGTGTTGTTTGGAAATCAGGTTTTCCTTTGGCTTTGGTGGTGTAATAACTAAGGCATTTGACTGCTAACTGGAGGGTTGGCAGTTCAAACCCAGAAGAAAGATGGGGCAACCTACTTCCATAAAGATTTACTGCCTTGGAAATCCAAAGGGGATCACTGAGTTGGAATCAACTCAACGAAGTGAGCTTTTTTAAATCAGTTAATATGTCAGATAAGGTCCTAATCTGAACCCCTTCTGAGTTGCCTCTTGTAAATGGAAAGAAACAGGTCACGTGGGGGAAGACACCGAGGGAAGACAACATCGCTAACAGGGACAGGCTAAGAGTGGCCTGAGCCTACTGAAAGCAGAGAGAGGCAGGAAGGGTCTTCCCTAGAGTGGGAGTGACAGCACAGCTCTGCGGATGAACTTGGACTTCTAGCCACAACTGTGAGACAGTAAAATACACACCTCTTCTTGAAAGCCCCCGTTTGTGTTAAGGCAAGCCCCAGGAAACTAAGGCCTCCTGTCTCCAATGATGAGAGAGTTTCATAATAGTTTCCCTTGGCTCTATTAGCACTTGGTGGCCTGTGTTTAGGTTCTCTGTCCCTTAGGCCTGGGTGTGGGCATAAGGTCTGGCCACCGCCCTCTAACCTTCACTTTCTTGCCGTCAACGTCCAGGGAACGCACGGTGAAGTCTACCCCAATCGTGTTCTGCTGCGTGTCTGTGTAGACCCCGGACTTGAAATGCTGCACCACACACGTCTTTCCCACGTTGGAATCCCCAATGAGGATGACCTTGAACAGATAGTCGAAGTCGTCTTCTGCTGCCCTGGTGGCGCTGGACAACAGCATGGCTCTGGTCACCTAGAGCAGACCTAGGATGGAGTGGAGAGAGTCAGCGTCTCTTCTAGGCACTGTGGGCACAGTGGGGACAAGACAGAGTGAGGTCATTCCGTCACAGCACTAACATTCTCAAGGGAGGAAGACGCCAACCACCGGTTGGCACGGGGGAGTTGTCTAGCACAAGCCCGCACCCACCCTGATGCTTGCACACACTGCTGTCGAGGTGGACCCGACTCATAGCGACCCCTCCTTGGGTTTCCGAGGCGGTATCACTACGGAAGTAGATTGGCCAACCTTCCGAGGAGTGGCTGGTGGGTTTGAGCTGCCAGCCTTCTGGTTAGCAGTCAGATGCCTTAGGCACTGTGCCACCAGAGCTCCCACACCTGCCCTGTGTGGTTGGCATTACTCCAGAGGGGCCCTCTGAATCGAAGGTCAGCTTTGTTCCCTGTAAGGACACTGTGCTGCCTTCCACACAGGAGCCCCTGGTTCGGTTCCCGGCCAGTGCATCCCCTGCCCAGCCACCCATCTGTCATGGAGTCCCGTGTACTGATACGGTGCTGAACAGGTTTCAGCCAAGCTTCCGCACCGAGGAGGATGAGGAAGAAAGACTATTTCCAAAAACCAGCCAAAGAAAACGCTGTGGATCCACATCTGGTCCTTGGGATGGAGCAGGACTGGGCAGCGTTTCGTTCCATTGTGCCTGGCGTTGCCGCGAGTCAGGGGCTTACTAACAGCAGTGACTTCATTCTTTGCTGGGCCCAGAACATGGTCAACGCTGTCTGATGACAGCATGAGCTGAGACCCTAGGGATGGAGCCCCCAGTGCCCAGATAGTGGGCAAGTGGCACGGGAGGTGGTCCTGGAGGACGTGGCTGGCAGTGAGTCACCCGGAGGGCATGCCTGGCTGGTATCCTTTGTAGGCTTCCCACGGTGGGTGGGGTGGGGTGGGGGTTGGGAGGTGTCGAGGCTTCCAGCAGTAAGGACGCCCGAGCTTTGTCAGGGAGTCCACCTGGGAAAGAGCAATGTGGCCCCTTATTCTGTGGGCACCTAGTTTTTCTCGACCAGGAAATTAGGATTCTGGGAATATTCCGAATGAAAACTGGTTCAGATGTTGTTGGGTTACAGCACATACTGGGTCAGAGCACCTTGGCTTCAAAGTTTCTGACGGCAGTGGGTCCTGAACGAACCGATGGTCAGAATTTCCTGGGGACATCATTAAAATGTTCCCAGACATATTCAAAGAAAACAGAAAGGCAACGCAGCCTCCCCACTACTCTGATGACCAGCCAGGTTTGGGAAACGCTGACCAACACGCCCACCCACCTGGAACTTTGTTCCCGTCTTCAGCAGCCCTGCTTAAATAGCCCAGACCAGGTGTGGTGGACCCCTCGTCCGTCAGAGCAGAACTGTGCTCCACCGGGTTCCAAGGACTGACTTTCCAGAAGTAGATGGCCAGACCTTTCTTCCAAGGTGCCCCTGGGTGGACTTGAACCTCCAAGCTCCCAGTTAGCAGACAAGCTCATTAACTGTTCCATCCCTACTTGTAAATATCTTTGATCATGAGGAACTCATTACCCACTGAAAACACATCCCTCTCCACCAGGCAGCCCTCACTCCCACGGGGTCAACTTCTCCCTGGCCTCCTGCTGTTGATCCTGACCTCGCACTACCCAAGCGAAACCAGTTCCACTTCCACATAGCAGCCTCTCAGATATTCCAAGCAGCAGGCTTCACTAGGGGGGTGTGGGGGTGTGGACTGCACCAAGTGACCCAGTGACAGGGGGTGACATCAGAATGCCTGTCTATAAATTGTTATGCAGTGTTTCAGTAGGAATTTATTATTTTTCATAAAAACACCCCTGTAGTTAGTTATAGTTATAGCAAGAACACTTTTCGTAGGCCCAGCTTCCATGTGTCAATCCACAAGGCTGAAGCTCTGCACTCGTTAACTTTGGGAGCCTCTGATTTGCTCTGGTCAGACGTCCTTATTGCCCAGTAACAGCGACGCTTCAAATCCCCTGGTTTTGCCTGATGTGCAAGCCTATGCTCTAAGCCTATGTTCTTGCTTTCTCTGCTGCTGTTTTTTTTTTTTTTTTTTTTTAGTTTTTATTGTGATTTGGGTGAAAGTTTACAGAGTAAATTCATTTTCCATACAGCAGTTCATGCACATTTTATCTTATGACACTGACTGCAATTCCCCACAACGTAACAGCTCCCCTCCCACTTCTTCCCCACAGTTACCTCTTCCCTGTGTCCATCCCTCCATGCACTCCTGCCCACCCCCCCAGTTGTCTCCCTGTGCACTCACTTCCCTTCTGTTCTCCCATGATTGATCTCTCCAAGGAGTGTATCTACCTAATGCAAATGTTCACTCCATATGCCTGTCTTTTGTTTGGCTAGAAGCCATAGGAGTGGGTTCAGTTCCAGCCCTGAAGGGTAACTAGGGGCCATAGACTCGGGAGTTTCACCAGGCTCTATCAGACCAGCAAACTTGGTCTTTTCTTTCTTTCTTTTCTTTTTTTTAAATGAATTTGAGTGTTTTTTATTTTTTAATTGCGATTTGGGTGAAAGTTTGCAGAGCAAATTCATCTTCCATACAGCAGTTCACATACACTTTGTCTCATGACATTGACTACAGTTTCCCACAATGCAACAGCTCCCCTCCCACTTCCTCCCCATAGTTACCTCTTCCCTGTGTTCTTCCCTCCCATGCACTCCTGCCCCCTAAGCTGTCTCCCTGTGCACACACAACCCTTCTAATCTCCCATGGTTGATCCCTCCAAGGAGTGTATCTACCTAATGTAAATGTTCAGCTCATATGCCTGTCTTTTGTTTGGCTGGAAACCATAGGAGTGGCTTCAATTCCAGACCTGAAGAGCAGCTAGGGGCCATAGTCTCAGTGGTTCCACCAAGCTCTATCAGACCAGCAAACCTGGTCCCCACCCCCTTTTTTTTTCTTTAATAATTTTGAGTTTTGTTCCACATTGTTCTCCCACTCTGTCCAGGATCTTCTACATAGATTCCCATCCAAGTGGTTAACAGTGGTAGCTGGGCACCATCTAGTTCTTCTGGTCTCATAGTCATATAGGCTGAGGATCACATGGTGTACCAGTCGCTTGGACTAGTTGTTTCCATTGGTGCTGTTTTTATAGTTGCTGATTTTGTCAAATTTTCTGGAATTTTAGCTATAATATTATGTTGTTGTTGTTGTTGTTGTTAAGTGCCGTCGAGTTGTTTCCGACTCATAGCGACCCCATGCACAGCAGAACAAAACACTGCCCGCCAGTGATCCTGCGCCAGCCCCACAATCCCTGCTATACTTGAGCTCATCATTGCAGCCACCGTATCAATCCATCTCGTTGAAGGCCTCCCCCTCTTTC